ACTTTCATTTTGATTTTCCTAGGTGCAAGATAGAGGTCAAGACACCGTTCAAAGCGTTCCGTGAGGAATTTATCATATTGAGGCACCTGAAAATAGTGGGAGATAGTTGGAGCTAGAATCGTATACACGAAGATAAAGACACCTTCCGCAGAGCATCATACTTCTGAGGAACAAATTGAAGTCGCCGATCTTCAGGTTCGGTTTCATCCCACCTTTAAACGCCAAAACTTGAATAAATTGAAAAAAAAAACTTCTCAAAGTTGTGGAAAGGAAGCAGAAAGATGGAAATTCAAGAATTTTGACTATATGCAAAAAGGGAGTATTAGCTATGTTGCAGTCTCCATCTGCATCAATGTATACAAAAATTATGTAAAATACGGCGACCCATATAGGTGCCGTTCATGAATGTTGCATATCAATTAAAAATTTAATAAATGCAGGATTCCAATAATCTTAGGCGCGATCTGCAAGTAGCTTGCTCAAACAAGGCTATCCGTGAACAGTAAAATCTGCACTTTTAAATTGGCAACTTGTATGCAATATCACAAACACGCATATCGTTTTGCGAATGATGCTGATGACTTAAGTTAGATTGTGGAAGATAACATACTTCTTCTTTTCCTCTTCATCAAATAAGTACTCTTCTGGTGGATTATACGATTCAGCATGACTGGGAAGGGGCATCTGAAGCATTTTAAAGAAAAGTCACGAATGTTTTAATTGCGGAAGAGGACGTCTACCTTCGGTGCAGGCATATGCATTCTCATCCTAGCTAATTCGGATTTTGTCTTGTGATCCATAGAATCCTCTGCAGCCCATAAATCGTATAACTGGAAATGAAAAAATCTTTGAAGAGAAAGCAACTCAAAGAAAATAAGATTCAGAAGGAAATTATGACCTTCTTCTCTTCCTTTGGTTTGGGTTTCCTTGCCCAACCCATTTTGATGGCGTGGACCATACGACTGACAATTTTCATCTCATCTCTTGAGGGTATAAATCGGGATTTAGGTTCGGGTCTAAAACGGGATATAGAATTTTTTAAAAATTGACATTATATTGAGAACATTATTTCCAGAAGTAATTTGCACTTCCAAAA